CAGGCGGCACTGTTAGGACGGAGTTCATAGCTGGGTGGCGTGGATGCGGAGGATTTCCGGAAGGCGGAGAGTGAATGCTGTAAGCAAGGTAGTTATGTGGCGCGAGATCAGGATCAAAACATCACTGTACGATCAGACGATCAGATGAGAAAAGGGGATCATTTGATTTCCTAATTAGGAAGTATGCACTCGTCGCGAAGATGCTGTTTTTGAGCGATTCAACTATTTCCGTGTTTCCTCCCCATGATTAGGAATACCTTGATTAATAATCCTACGGGGGGTGATGCTATACTCTAGGATGGGAGAGATCACGTGCTAGCTGCGCTCGTGATGATTTGGGGCAGAAAGGTTGCCTTTATGCACCACTGGCCTATTTTTAGAAATCTGCCAGAACGGCCAATGTCTACCCACTGGCAGGTTCAGAAGCTACAGGTTCCTACTGTGTATAGTCATGTTGCCAAGTCACGATGTGTGACTTCGCTTAATAGCTTCAAATTCCAAACTGACCTCTCTTCTCTCTTACCCATCCACCCTGTAACTACATACTAGCCACGTGACCTAGGAATACTGTGCTCTGATTAGTCTATTTCGAAAATCCCTACAGCGCGGGCACCCCACCACCTATTCCGGGCACCCCTACAACATATTCTAGGCATCCCCCATTACCTGTTTTGGGCACCTCCACCACCTATTTTAGGCCCTACAATCACCCATTTTGGATACCGTTTATTACTCCCGCCTCCGTTTTGGGCACAGGTGCTAGAAAGGGTGGTTGGGAGTGCCCGAAAACGGATGATAGAGGGTGCCTAAAATGGGTGATGATGGGGGTCTAAAGTTAGTGGGGGGGAGTGTGCCTAAAATAGGTGGGGGAGGTGCCCAACAAGGGGAGTAGGGGTGCCCAGAACGGGTGGTGGGGGTGCCTAGAATGGGTGGTGGCAGTGCCATTGTGATAACAATGAGGAGCAGAGAACCTGCCAGCGAGCGTTATTATCGGGTCCATCGATGGAGCAGAAAAAAACCTGCCGCAGGTTTGCCTAATTGGGCGAAATACGAGGTGGCGGTGCGCTAAAAAAGCCACATTTCGGGATGTGGACCTGCCGGCAGGTTTTCACCACTAAAAAGTAGACATACACCCATTCTGGCGCTAATATCGAACCTGCCATGAATCTGCTACGAATCTGCCACTATTTAAGTAGACAAAGCCACCTGCCAGCGCTATTATCGAACCTGCCGGCTTCGAGGTAGACAAGGCCTTAGTCTTGTACGTACAATCTAAGATCAAGACATCATGGTGGTTTTGGAGTACTTCCAAGGACCGCCGGTGAGCGAAGAAAAGGTGAGTGATCCGCCTCGTTTCTGGGTCATATTGGTGGCTGGTGATTAGGTCGGTTCGCGTGCTAAGTTCCCGTAGAAGTGCTTGAATATAGGACTGTCCTTTCAAACGGTGGAGCTTCAAAAAGTCGCGTCGATTATATATATCTCTCCTGATCAAATCTGTGCCGGATTGGATGGCGTTATAGATCTGTTTTGGCGTACATCCAGCCATTGTCATCTTGTCAATTTCCTGCTTCTGTTCCACAGTCAATTTGAAGTGGCTGCGGTGAGCTGATGCCGAGGAGACAACGTTATGGTTATGCCCTAAAACCACGGTATGAATAACCCAACGCCGCGTATCACGGTCGAGTTTGGTCTTAACCGCCCATCCACAGCCGGTTTTCGAGCTTCCAGTCTTGCGGAATAAGGACGGGATTTTGAGAGGCTTTCCGGACCGATCGCACTCGAACCAGGCACGATTCTTCTCATCCCAGTACTTATCGGTAAAGGTCTTACCTTTACGGATACCGAAACGCCGATCACGCGTGTATTGGAGGAGATATTGGTAGGCATCGTCGATATCCTTTCAGCCTTGATCAGGCTGGACCGGTGGGGCGGAAAGATTGATATAGTCCTCCTGTATCGTATTTAGGAAGTCGTTGAAGAAGGAGTCAGGTAAGTCCTCTATATCTTGGTCGATCTCATCGCTAATCTCCTCATCTGCAGTCGCAAAGCTCTCCTCCATATCACTGTCTCCAGCCTCACTTCCCTCCTCATTTCCACCAAAATCTGACGAATCGAGATACGGGACTAGGCCTAACGAATTAGTTGGGCGGAGAGCCATATTTAGGAATATGGGGTCACGGATAGGAAACCGGAGGACCCCGAAAAACAGAGAGTCAGAGACATTCTGATCTCTGACAGTTGATATTTAATACTTCTATATCACCATTTCTGTTATGGGTTGAAACCCTTGGTTGGCTCAGGCTGAGAGCCTAAGCCTGATTAGGTTAAGGGTAAATCAGAGTCCAACCTCTCCGATGTAAACAAGAAAGCTTCCCTTTGTTGTTCTCTTCTTTAGCTTAATCTAGAATATCTTTGGCTACGTGTATGTTGTGTGCATCCAGCTACCGTGCCGTAACATTGCCAAGCAGTCTATAGAGGGGATCGAGCCACAGTAACAGACACTGTAATAGAGACAGGTGAAGATGAATAAGATAGAGTAGGGGAAGGTATAGGAGCAGGTGCAGGGATCGACACAGATATAGAAGTAGTTATAGTGTTCGTAACTAGTGTAGATGTAGGAATTAACACGGCGACAGAGGTGTTTAGGTGTCGTAAGACCTCAGCAAGTGTTTGACCCTGAGATTAAGGAGGAGGTTGAAATCGAGGAAGAGAAGCCGGTGCACGTCGTTCAAAATCTTATGGATCTCGACGAGTTATAGCATTCGTAGCTAGTGCAGATGTAGGAATTGACACGGCGACAGAGGTGTTTACGTGTCGTAAGACCTCAGCAAGTGTTTGACCCTAGGGTTGGGGAGGAGGCTGAAATTGAGGGATAGAAGGTGGCATACGTCGTTCAAAAGCTAATGGATCTCGACGAGTTGATGCCTCGTTCTTCCTCGGTGCACCTCTTGTTTGAGCAGGAAGCGGCTCTAGGATAGATTAATATGGCCTTGGAGAGAGACTCATTAACAGTCCTTGCTTACGTTGATAGCGCCAATGATCGTCGTAGTCGTTTAGTCGTAACGTCGATCCAGAATTCATCATATCTCATAGCGTATGATGACATGGAAGACCGTTTATGGCATCAAAGAGGCCAGAACAGGGATGTCCGCTGCGACGTTGCGTCTGCTCCTTCTGGCGCAGCAGATCCTGTTGTCTAATGCGTTCGATTGCCGGTGGCGTAAGAATGTCATGAATGCCAGGAGGTAGTAACGGCATTGACTCTAGTCTATGCTCGAATTTAACGCTGTGTTTAGAAGAAGCAATCTTTTTCTTATACTTGTTGTATTGACTCTTAACCATCTGCTCAATCCTTCTAACAACACGCAGCAAGTCGCCTCTTGAAGTCATAAGGTAGTCCTTTAATACCTTATATATTCCTTCAACAGGAGAGGTTGTAATGGTATTGTAGTGTCGATACTGAGACGTCCAAGCAGCTGCCCACTCAGTGCGTGGGTTCCACTGATTTTTGCGTAAGTATTGGCAAAGCTCTGGCTGGTCAGCATAGTCTTTAAGTAACTCGTCCCACTTCAACTCAAACGTAAGTAGTCCTTTTGCGTAGACAAGCTGCTCTAGTTAGTTCTATGAAAGACTTATAAGAGGCCATTAGCGAGGAGCATACCTGACTCCAACGTTTCATAAATTGACCCCGTTGGTCGGTGATTCTTTGCTTCTCCTCTTTTGTCGCGCCATCAGCGTCTCGCCAGGTCTTTTGAGCCTTTGTTTGCACATTCTTATTGATATGCCATACGCACAGGAGTTGTGGAACACCTGGAAACAGAGTGCGAGCTGCCAGTTCACCGCATCCTCTTGATCGCTAATGAACACGCGTGGCTACGGTGTCCCGGTCTTGAGGAGGAAGTTCGAGATCGCCCAATGGTAATCTTCTTCTTTCTCGCTGTGGAGGAAGCAGAACCCTGCAGAGAAGAAGGTCTGCAGATTGGTGCAGCCGAGTATGTGCAACAGTGGGAGTTTGTACTGGTTGGTTCGGTACGTACAGTCTATCAATAGGATATCGGGATTCGCAAGCAGTAGCTCGATCTGCTTCTGGTGGGCAAAGAAGAGACCTTGTACGTGATTATCCGCGTCCTTCTTAACAGTAAAGACCCATTCCGGCGTAGATAAGTCATCTAGTAATGTCTCAATCGGACTCCTCCCATTCAAGTGCTTCTCTCTAATTGCCTTCCTCTCGCTGCGGATATCGGTGGCAGAGACTAGCGTTTCCGGGTCCTCCTTTTAAATAGCAGCCATTATCTGCATCGGCCGCACCCCGGCATGTTTCATTGATTCAATTATGTCTTTCTGTACTGATGTACGCCTGCGATAGACATTATGCGCACTAGGGTTAAGTGATCGGGGGTGGTTGTGATGCTTGTGTAGCACATCTAGCTTCCACTGGTCGTCATTTTTATACTTGAATATGACAAGCTTAAAATTACACCCTATTGTGCATGTGCTTGTGCTTATAATCCTTGCTCTTGACTGATAGTTTCCGGATCGATCACAGTGATAGTAATATCGCGTCTTTATAACAGAATCTTGAGGTTTGCTCCGTTTGAGTATAAAGCCGTAACCATGCTGCATACCATGGATCTTGAGAGCGTTGTAGGCTTCTTCATAGGATACGTGAAGACCATCTGGAGGAGGGGCGATATCCTCCATGCTAAGGTCTATGAGAGAAGGAATAGATTGAACACTGATAACTAATTGATATTTGTCCCTAGGCGAAGACGAAGGAAATTACGCGCTAGGCCCAGTTGAGCGATTAATTTCCACCATTACTAGCGGGGAGGAAAAATCTCTCAGGGATGAAAACCCCACAATACGGGAGGAAATATCTCACCAGCCAAATCTTTATAAATCACTTTGAAGCTAGTCCTAATGAAGTAGTTTACCGATTTACCGATTTCGCCGATATTGACAAAATTTAACGGATAAAATATCCGTGTAATAGAAAGGTTGCCGATATGAATCGGTGAATCGTATCCGCAAACCCGAAAGGTTGACGATATCGGATCCGTGCCGATATCGTACCTGCAAAATCGGGAAATCCGCCAATCGGGAACAGCCCTAACCATGGGAGTCGGTCAGTGGGTTATATGGGGCCCGAAGACCTTACGGCACTTCGTTCCTCCAGGCACATACGTTCCTCCAGGCACAGCCTCGATTAGCCAGCCTGCTCGTTGGGTATCTGTGTGTTCACATCTATGTCTTCACAACCATCCCTGGCCTCAAGCTCAGCAGGTTGAGGGCCTCTTATCCTCTGTCCAAGCTTAGTAGCTTGAGGCCCTATTATTCCCAGCTCGTGTACTGGTAGGTGTTGACTTATAGGCGTCAAACCTCTCTTTTGCTTTTCCAATTTCCTCTTATCTACCGCTTGTTGCCAGGCCATACGAGCGATTGCTCCTAGAGCTATTGCTAATCCAATTCCGAGACTGATACCTACGCCCAGTGTAGCAGTGTTGCTACACTTTTCCGGTGCGTATGAACCTCCACTAGGTGCCGGGCTTGAGTTGGAAGTACTGTCAGAAGTAGGGTAGGTATTGTTTCCCGCGTTTCCAATAGTTTTTATTTCGCTTAAGAAAAGCCGGCCGATGTCTCCATCCGTTATAAGGAGTGAACGGTTTTGGCAACAGCTTTCTTTATCGCTAGGGTCTCTGCAGCACCAAACTCCTCGTTTACATGGCTCAATAGCGTATCCCATGGCTCTTTTCCCAAACACAGGTGCAACTATGGTTTAGTTGTTAATATCACACTTTGGCTAACTTAGTGCGGATGATGCACCTTAATTGATTGGTGTTCTCTTACCAGGATTACAGAAGCTTGGACACTCTGGAGATTTGCCTGTAGGATCGGTACACCCATTCTGAAAAACCAGACCTGGATAGGTATAGCGTATAGGTTGACAGAGGCCAGTTGTACGGCATACATCAGGTCCGATCTGGGCCGTTGCACAGCATGCACTGTACTTTGCCGAAGGGTCGCAAGGCTGCATGTTGATAGGGTCGCGGGGTTGTCCATTGGCGCCAAAACATTCTCCATTCACAGATGTGATAACCACAAAGGGTGATATCGATAAGAGGCGCAGGAGGATATTTAGAGGTTTAAACATTCTGTTGGTTATTATAGTACTAACCAGGGAGAACTGAATAATCACAGTTTATATTGGCTAGCTAATATCAGACCAAACGAAAGATAAAGAAGAAGGAAATGAGGAAGAGAAGGCGGAACACCCTCCTTAAATAGTGCTTAACTTGCTTGTGCAACCTCGCGTAGCCTCTTAACCGTTATACGACATATTTCAGTTTTGGTCAAGCTGCAAGTGTTACGATCATATTTGTTGGTTTTAGATTACCCTACTTCATACTGAACAACCAATCATGTTACACTAGACTTACCTTGTCACAGGATACACCAGTTTGCCTATGTTATAATCCTGACTCTACTTGTGGTATTTGAACCACCAATCGGGTTACGTCAAGAGTCGCACAGTGACCACTAAGGCCTTGTCTACCTGAAGGCCGGCAGGTTCGATAATAGCGCTGGTAGGTGGCTTTTTCTACTTAAATACAGTTAGACCTCGTTATAAGAATACGGGTATATAGGAATATCGGGTTACAGGAATAGGTTTCGCCAGATTTTCGTCAAAAACCTAGTATATTGCTCGTTATAAGAATTATAAGAATATTCCAATCTTAAAAGTCAATATTCTTATTGTGATGGAGTGGACTTCCACCATGCACACAAGTCACCAGATTTGGGTCACGGGACTTACCACTTCATCACTTGTAGACTTTACAACCTCCTGTTGACGTAGACGTAGATTCTTCCCTCTTCATAGATGAATCTAACTTGTTACGTTACTACCTTGATTTTACATCATCCAGTATCAATCCGTGACACTATTCATCTATCTTCCCTGTGGAGATCCAGACAAATCTTCATCCGGAATATATCTCGAATCGATTCGTTGTATCGCTAGCCGACGTTTATCCGGAAGCTCCGATCGACGTTAATCCGGAAGCTCCGATCGACGTTACAACCAATACCCGAACTTCATACGTTCCTGGTAACCAATAGCCATCCATCAAGAAAGAACCGAATACGAATGATGTCGGACCAATCCGACGTCGACTACGCCACTGCGGCTGGTGGCACCCAACAAACCACTCAAAGCACACTGCTCAACCCGAAATGAGCAAGCCAAGGGCGTTCATGCGACAACCCCATGTCCCGTCCAGAGCTAAGACGCAATCGATGGCCGCGGGGGTACAGTACCCCTCGCTGAAGAAGAATGAAAGATTTGCTCTCCTGCCTATCCTAGACGAACATACCAATGACACGTCGGGAGTGCAAATCTACGAAGAACCACCGCCTCCCCCTGACTACTCGAGGTCTGAAGACAGCCCGCCTTACTACCTGAGCGTGGACGTGGAGCCAATCCAAGACACCCTCACACAGGAAGACTTCATCCTCCTATGTCAGAAGAGTCCTCAGAAGTGGTTCGATGCAGTGGCCAACACTGCCTTCCGCGCCTCTGCGTGACCCACAGGATGGAATTTGGACAATGGCAATGATGACGCATCGGGAGATCAGTAAGGTCTATAGAGAGCTCTTCGAGCAGGACGTAGCAGCCTTTGATTGGGCAAGTCTCCTGAGACGCGCGTGGGGATTCCGTGTTCGCACATCTAGATCCGGCGCGCCTCAGGGTAGGCCCGTTCCCGGTCAACGGACCGCCACCTCGTATTTCGCCCAATTAGGCAAACCTGCGGCAGGTTTTTTTCTGCTCCATCGATGGACCCGATAATAACGCTCGCTGGCAGGTTCTCTGCTCCTCATTGTTATCACAATGGCCCCTCTACATCGTCCAAACCACCATCGCTGATCGGATCTACGCTACCGCCGCCGTATACGGCAAGGGAGATACTGCATCTACATCCCAACCTGCCCTGCAACTACATCCCAGCCACGTGGCCTAGGAATACTGTGCTCTAATTGATCTATATCGAAAGTTCCTATAGCGCGGGCACCTGTACCACCCATTCTAGGCACCCTTACCACCCGTTTTGGGCACCCCTACCACCCTTGTTGGACACCTCCACCACCTATTTTAGGCACTCCCCCCACCGACTTTAGACCCCCATCGTCACCCATTTTAGGCACCCTCTATCATCCGTTTTCGGGCACTCCCAACCACCCGTTCTAGCGCCTGTGCCCAAAACGGGAGCCGGGAGTAATAAACGGTATCCAAAATGGGTGATAGCAGGGCCTAGAATAGGTAGTGGAGGTGCCTAAAACAGGTGATGGGGGATGCCCAGAATATGTTGTAAGGGTGCCCGGAATAGGTGGTGGGGGTGCCCGCGCTGTAGTGATTTTCGAAGTAGACTAATCAGAGCACAGTATTCCTAGGTCACGTGGCTGGGATGTAGCTACAGGGCGGATTGGGATGTAGATGTAGTGTTTTAGGGATGTAGATGCAGCATCTCCCTTATTTGATATTCAAGTTAATGTTTTGCAAGTTATTAGGACTTCAGCAATAGCTTCCATTCCCTCAAATACCCTTCCTTCAAATTGTAAGTCAGTTGCACTGCCTACTCAGGCGACTATGTCCAAGCCACACTACTGTAGGTGAAGCGTGTCAGCTACCTTAAGTACAAGGCTTCAGTCGCACAGTTCTATAAACTAAGTTGTTTCGATTCTGTATTCCATATATTTCATACACAGAGAACAGAGTCAAGAGTGGGTGCCAACTCAAAGCTTCTGCACATTTTATCGAACACGGAAATGGCCAAACTGTGCACTCTATGTGCGGCAGCTCATGCCAACTTCCTGCGAAGACGCTCGAGATATTCCGATGAGGAAACAGTGTTTTATTCCTGGCTCCGAAAAAGAAGCACGTCTCGCTGTCCGCTTTGTTGGTTATTTCGGAAGACCACCTGGACATCCACGCCGGTGGTCTTATCACCCTGGCTAACCTTACGGGACGATGCAGAGCTACTTGTGAATTTAGAAATGGATGATTTGGCATGCATGCTAGGCTTCAGGTCTGATGCCGTTCAATATCGGGAAAAAGAATATGGTGAGAGCTCAGCTGAAAGCCTGGTGGGGGTCTTCGTAGATTGGTCTCGAATGAGCGAAGCGGACGAAACCTACGGGTTTATGAGGATGAGCGATAAGGTTGTAAACTTTCAACTTCTTCTCGAATGGTTACAGGAGTGTGACGAATGTTTCCCCGAGGCAAATGCACGGCAAATCCTGGATGACATGAATCGCAGGGCAACCGTGCCGCTCAATCTAATCGATTGCCATTCTCGCAAGGTAATAGAAGGGGACTGGTCCAGCAGATTTGCTGCATTAAGTTACGTTTGTAAGTGTCATATGCGCTACAGCAACTTCTTTATGAAGCCATCTGAATCACGACTGACAGAGTCAATAGGGGGCGAACCGCAGCAAAAGTCCGACCCTGGTGCATCTCGAGCAGTTGTGCCATATGGGTTGCCTGAACTGCTTCCTAAAGTTGTCGAGGATGCAATAACAGTTATATTGAAAATGGGACTTCAGTTTCTTTGGGTTGACAGGTATTGTGTGGAAACCGATGCGACTGTTAAGCATCAGCAAATTGCTGCGATGGACCAAATCTACTCGGGCGCAGTCTTCACAATTGTTGCGGCGGTAGGCCAAAGCGGCGATGAAGGTCTCCACGGGATTTCCGAGGTCCGAAAGGAAGCGCCATACGGCGTCGACGTTGGTCGATTTTCATACATTCAGATCAAAAGTGACCCATTGAAGAGGTTCCAGTGTTCCAAATATCAACAAAGAGGATGGTACGTCACTGTTTCAACCCTCTAAATGGCTACTTACATGCTTCTAGGACATATCAGGAATTCATCCTTTCCAGTCACTGCTTCATATTCGAGGCAGATCAAGTCGTTTTCTTGTGTCGAAACCGGGGCATCACCAAATACGAATTGAAGACTTTGCCATGCCCCTCGATAGCTCTGGATAGGAAGCATGTCGCCAATCACGATACTCCTATCTTTGACCACCGTCTTCTCTCCTACGTCGTTTCCAGGGACCAGCAACAGCCATCTCTTGAACCATGGATGCATGCAACATTTCGCAAGTCGCCCAGGGCCCAGAAACTTCCGCCTCTTGAACCATGGATCCATTCAGCATTTCGCGAGGTGACAGAACCACCAAGCGAGACTGATGATCCAAACTCAGATGACAATATGAGTTATGGAGTCGATCACCAGGATGAATATGATATGGAGCTTAGAATGGAAGAGGATATTAGAGATGAGTACTGTCGCGGGCCAGGTCAACTGGACGAGGATAACGTGATGGTAAATGCGTTGGATAGGGAGAACATATTCTGGAAGAAGAGGCTGGACGAGTACACGGAAGAACGTGGGACGATTCTACGGGAACAAGAATTTGAAGAAGTACGGGCGCTTGAAGAGAAACGCATCAAAGAGCAGAAGCGGATTCATGATGAAAGTCGGGTCCAGAAGGAGCTCCGACAAAGGGAACTATATGAAGCCCAACAAGAGCAGGAGTGGGAACAAATGGATGAAGATATGAGGCAAGCGGAGATCCGAATTGAAGCACCTTTGTCGGGGGACGAGGCATGGGATGAAATGTCGAGCGAGAACGAGCCCGAAGCGGGATCCGAATCCTGGCCGAGGGAGCGAAAACCAAAACTAGAGGAGTCCAAGGTTGCTTTTGTGCTCTCCGTTTTCGAACCATACATCAGGAACTACTCTTCTCGACAGCTCACGTACAGCTCCGACGCCCTTGCCGCGATCCTATCAATCCTACAGTTGTTTTCGAGTGCGGTCGCCGAATTCCGTACCTACTATGGAGTTCCATTTTACTATGGCACACCTCAGTCCAAGCCCCGTCTGCCTCTCTGTCCAAATCGCACTTATGTCCTGAACCTCGCCACAGGACTATGCTGGAGCCATGGGAATAGAGACCTGAAAGCTATAGTACGTCGAAATCCGCGATTCCCAAGCTGGAGCTGGCTAGGCTGGGAGGGACGGATTTCTGGGTGGCTGCCGGACCTATCCAAATCATTCATCCTTGCCTCTGATTCTATCTTCCAAAGAGATATAGATTTTAGCAATTCTGACGCTGAGCTCGAGCAGAGATCCTTGGGACGGATAGCACCCCCCAAGTTAAGCATTCAAGCAAGTTGTTGGTCCCTCACATTCCGCTGGGGCAGAAACGACAAGTCTCTCTTTCCAGATCCAAATCCAGGATATCTCGATGCCACTCAGCTGATCTCAAGGGCAGATTCGGATAGTTTTGATCAAGGTTACTACATGGAAAACCCAGACAATCCTCTCCAGGAAGCGCGATTGGAATTATCTTGGTGCTCCATTCCGGGCCAGGACCTTCACGCTCGCCTTTGCCGTGAGAATTGGATTGGAGTGCCCCCTGGCTTCTAAGAGAAACAACAAGCAGACACCGGACGACATATATATGCTGGTCGTTGGGAGAATCTATCCAGAACATGGCGATCTGGAACGTATTGGCATTATTGTGATACCGCAGTCCTTTCTGTATGGCCAGATACCACAGAAGCGACAGTTTTGGTTGGGTTGAAAAGATTCCAATGGTACTTTCGCCGATTCCCTAAGTCATGGGCTTCGCTCTCACGCAGAATCGAGGCGCAGCGAATATTTCCACATTTTCAGGGCGCATGGTCGATTGGTTGCCTTGATCCAGGCGCGACGGGCCGAGAAAGAATAGCGGGGAAACTATCTTCCTGTGCCCTCAGTTCAAGTTCATGAGGCTGCGCTGGTATATGAACTTGACATTCGACAAGTCATGATACCAATGACCAGATACAAACCAGTTTCACCGCACGAGAATGATACAATCCCGACCCCCTGGGCGGCTAGGCCACATGGCATGTCTGTATTCAGCTTGCAGGGTTCCGACCGGCGCGAATGGGACTAAAACCGAATCAGAAGGAGTTTCCGCAGATCCTCGGCGAGATGAGACGAGACGATGATGACGCAGTTGATCTGAACAGTTGACGCCCACAGGGACGCGACATGGCCGTCCATGACCGAATCAGGACAATTACATCGTCTCAAAGCCTGGAAGTTGTCGCCCTTAGCCAACATCCTCGCCCTCTGGGCCGAAGATAGAAACCTCTCAGCTGACTCGTATTATTATCTCATCAGGTTGGATCACCCTCGTTTTGAATCCTCCTCGTTGTGAAGCTCACGGCCTTGCCGGTCAATCAGCCTTTCTACTATTCAGTTGTCAGTCGTTCCCCGCGTTCTTATACTCTGCTATTGCTTTTTTATACGCACGTCCTCTCTTATTCTTCATCCATCTCCCTCCTTTACTCGTTTGACGACTCACACGAGCATAAACTCGAGTCGATTGCTGTAAGATACCACCGCTGACATACAAGAGCCTGCGATTCATTGGACGCCATCGCAAGCCCATTTTGGGAGCTTGCAGCTTGCAGCCATCCAGCTGGACGCTGCATACTTCACCATCTCATTGTCACTGGATTTTGTTGTCCAACTCCGCCAATCTGCTCCTCTGCCTTGCGCAAGGTTACCAACCATTCCCCCACTTCACCAGTCTTGATAAACCATCCTACACTCTCATTGTTCCATCCAACCCATCCTCATGTAAATCATCAACAACAAAGCCCCATCTCACCATGGCCTACTACGACAGCGGCATCAACATGGGGCCAGACCAGCATACATATCCCCCTAAATCAGGACACGACTATTCGCCCGAGTACCCTCCCGCTTCCGACACTTCGCACCATTACGCCTCGCCCTCCGCGTCCTACGTCCCGTCCTCTGAGCTTGGCGGTCGTCCGCGTGCCTTGTCCAACATCGCTCCCGACGCTTCCATGCCTCCTCCTCCATCACCTCCAGTGCAATCGCAAAGACAGGTTCCGCCGCTCCAGCCACTACACCAACAGCCCGGATCAAGTCCCGCACAGCAGCCTATATACGATGCTGTTAATCATGTCTTCGACAATGCTGCTCGGTCGAACCAGCTCCCGAACGACATTATCTCCCAGATCGCGGAGCAGGTGCGCACCCAGGTCATTGACAGTTTGAAATCCGAAGGACTGGCGTATCAGCCTCCGAATAGCACTCAACCGTCATTTCCTTCGCAGCAGGTCCCGCTAGCACATCAGCAACAGTCATTTAATCCTCGCACCAGAACTAACCCATCCCCGCCATCTTTCACACCTCGAACGACCGTCTATACTCCACCGTCCCCACACGGCCACGGTCAGTTCCCCAGTGGTTCAGTTACCCCAGAACCCCCAGCGCACGACCCACATTTTTATAGCCACAAGGAAGATGCTTCGCCACCCAAGCGAGAAGAATCGCAAGTGAAGAAGGAGGATCTTTCGGAAATATATGGTGAGCGAACAGCATCTTCCGTTGAAAATTCTTGGTCCAGTCAGAATCGTCCGGAGAAACCGCAGCGAGTAATGACAAATGAGGAGGAGACGACACTGGAGAAGATCTGGCAGCCCTTTTTCGATTTGGATGGAAATCCAACGGCAAGACTGGGCCAGTTCCTAAGGGGAATTGCGCTTCACATCGTATGTACCAACCGATTCGGGAGAAGGATCAGATTAGCCAACCGCATTTGTAGATTGAGGACTACAAACCAAAGAAGAGTCTTGTCATCACGCCAGCCAAGATGCAACGCTTCTACGAAGAAGTGAAGGTCACAGACGAAATATATCCTTGGAACAGTAAGCCCAATCGATCGATTACCGTGGGAATATCGACATGCTCATGCCCAGGACAGCTATCTTTGGCAAGCTCAGCAATTCTGCGGTTTGCAAAATTTATCGCCACCTCCACTGCCAGCACCACCTCGTTCAAGAATCATACGGCGATGTTCCTTTCATTCCCGCGCTCACCCCAGACGGCTTCCAGACCTGGATGACGCTCATGATTCAAGGACACGTTGAACTGGAATTTGCACGACTTGCGAAAGTCCTTGTCGCATTTCCTATCGGCAATGCCGATGACCGCAAAGAGCGATTTCCAAAGGAACTCTCTCGGCGCCTACTTCCAAAAGTCGATAATATGCATGCCAAGCAGCGCTGCGTCGCTGCCATCTCCACTGACCCGCTTGTGACTGTCCGTGATTCCGTCTCATTCCCCCCACCGCCGCCCACTCAACCGCCTTCAAGCTACGACGCCGCACAAGATCGCACACACCTCGGTTCCCAATCCTCTACAACCTCTAGCATACCTCCGCATGAGCCTAGTGCCCCGCCCTCCCGAACCCATGTAAAAGAAGACCATAAGGACACTCCTCCAGTATCCTTCAAGGAGCGCGAACGAAAACCCTACGTGGCCAAAGAAGGCCTGGGGAAAATCTACAACGACCCCGCGCTCTCCAACCATATTACCCAGCCATATAACTACACCGGTTCTACCCAACCGCCAACTAACCACCATCCTCCTCCCTCAACCGCCATCTCCATCCCTCAACCATCATCAGCCACGCAAGCACCCAACCCATCATCCACTCGTGCCCGCCGCTCGGACTCTACGGCAAAATCCTACACCCCCTCCACCGCGCCCATCGGCATCCCCCTATCGACCGCCACCTCTGGTTCTAGCGCACGTGATGTCTCGATGAGTGCAACGGAGAACGACTGGTATGGCACCTCACCGATGACGGGGTTGGGGGCAGAGTACAGCGGGCGATATCGCCCCGGGAGTGCCTCGAAGCCAGGAGGTGGGGAATCGGCGTGGCCTAGCAGCCCGGGGTCGAGCTATCCGGGAGGTGGTGCCACTACAAGGGATAAGGCGAGGTTGAGCGTTGGGGGAGGTGCAGGATCGATGCCTGGGGCCGTAACGGGGGCGTATACGCGAAGCGAGGGGACGGTGCATGATATCCCGGCGGGGTACTACCAGAGTAATTTGTATGCAGAGGAGGGAAGGGCAGATGAGGTAGATGGGATGAGAGTGGGCATGACTACGGAGGAGAGGTGGAGTGCACGGGAGAGGGAAGACGAAAGGGAGCGAGATAGACGCGACTATGCACAATGTGTGGCTGAAGAGGAGGGAAGATATCCGGTTGATAGGTATGAAAAACCGGGGAAGTACGAGGATGGTGGGTATGCCTGGGCGAAGGAGCGCGAGAGAGATTGGGATAGGGGTCGGGAAAGGGACAGTTACAGGGAGAGGGAGAGGACTAGGGAAAGAGAGCGAGATAGGAGCGGTGGATATTACGATGACCGACGCAAGTATTACTGAGTTCCCTCGGTCGTGTGGGCGCTGGCTCCTCCCTTTCGTACATCTATTTCTCTATCTGGTTCCGGGACCCCGGTTCATGTATCTGTAGAACTTTTTGACGGTTTCTTTCATAGCTATAGACTGTTTTATGTCTTTCATTCGAGATACCAAGGCTTTTGGAGTGGGAGGATATTTGCTGAGATGAATTGTGCGAAGATAGCAATGTGGTATTATCTAAATAATCATGCAAAGCGCCAATATTCCGCCTATGCATACAACCTTGGACGTGACTTCATAACGAGGATATAAAACGCCACTGTAGACCACCAACGCTGAGCCACCAGTTCAAATATAAAACCCCGCAACAAATGTCCCCTACGCCACCTGTCACTTCACCCCCGCCTCCCGAAAACTCACTCATCACCTGCCTGATCTCCATCATCCACCCAACCATCCTCTCCAGCATTACCCTCCCCAGCTCCCCCTTTCGCCGCGTCAGCTCTCCCCTCACCCGCCCCCACTCCTTTCCACGGATCGGACATACTCCTCTTGCCCCTCCTCGGCGTCATCCCTCCCCGTCTCCCCCACCTCCTTCCAAGCATTGGCCTCCCGCCCACGCTACCTGGTCCACCACGCGGATGCGGACCAAACGGCAGAGAGAAAGGAAAGCTACCCGGTGGACCGCCACCCCCGAAGTCTGGATCGAGGCCCATGCCCATGCCCATTCCCATCATCGGGTGTCCAAACATGTTGCCGAGTCCCCAGGGGGGCATGCTGGAGGAGGGATCGTGTCCAGGGTCAGGGTGGATTCCTGGTTGGCCAGGGGTGTGCGGGGGCGGCTGGCCCTGGGTCGGGTAGGGTTGGGGAGGCGGTTGGTTAGGGTGGCCGAATAAAGGGTGTTGCTGCGTCGAGGGGTCGTATGGGGGAGGGAACGGATGCGGTGGATGTGCTTGAGGTGGAGGTGCTTGGGCACCTGCACGAGAGGAGCGGGATGGAGGACGCGGGAAGGGTGGGTATGGCGGTGGTGGAATTGGAGGGATCTTGTCTCCGGGTTTTGTGGACTGTCGCGGCGGCGGTCGTTTCTTTTCATCTTTCGGGGACGCATGTTGGGAGGGGGGTTGCGGCTTGGATTTGGAGGATTTCTTGCCGTTGCCGTTGTAGTTGCGTTTGCGGTTCGGTCGATCTAAGACGATGTTAGTTAGTTATGGATATTGGCGGGTAGATAGACACCGACGTGACGGGGCTGTCAAGCAGGAGGCTAGATATCATGATCGAAGTCCTCACCAGGATCGCCCAGCCCGCCTCCTCCAAAGTCATCCAAATCATTCAACCCGTTGCGTCCGCCGCGCATGAACGCGTCCGGATCATCCATCTCCAGCCCCACTCCGCCCCGGCCTCCAAATCCAAATCTCCCTCCCCCCTGACCTCGCCCACCACCAGGGCCAGACCGCCCGAACCGCTGTCGTCGCCCGAACGGGTGCTCCATACCCATATTCATACCACCGCCTTGCATTCCCGAGTCGTCGCCGAACATATCATCCCACCCACCTCCTCCATCACGTAGGCCGCCCATTCGACCGCCCATGCCGCCCATGCCACCCATACCGCCCATCCCCGCCCCAGTCATGCGCCTTCTACCAGAGGACATTCGATTCACCCCTGGCCATGACCCTCCCATAGCCATATCTTCCTCCCCGCCACCGTCCAAGTCCCCAAAATCACCACCACCACCACCACCACCTACTCCTCTCCGTCGCCCGCGCTGCCTTCCCCCAAACGGGTTCGGTCCCTCTCGTACCTCCCTTTGGAGCCCATTAACCCGCTTCCCCAGCCCCTTAACCTTCCGCTCCAACCGCTCGATCGGCTCCGTATCGTCCGCGCCGCCTCGCAACTTAGTATTCCTCCCGCTCCATCCCCCATTTCCATTGCCGCCTCCGCATCCGCCTCCGTTGTCTCGGGTGGAACCAAAGCGACTCCGGCCACCGCCGCCATGCCCGCGGGGACATCCGCCCGGCCCCAACTCGAACTCGAAGTCGTCGTCGCCGATCCTCCCGGTGCCGGTCACCCGATCTTTGCAGCCGCATTTCTCTTTGCATCCACAGGCGCAGTCATGGCCGCACTCGCATTCGCCGTCCTTGCAGCCGCCACAGTCGGCGGAGCCTCCGCCTCCGCCTCGTAGTCCCATTCTCCTCCTACCACGACTGCCTCCTCCGCCGTCGTATATACCGTCTGCTCCACACGTACATGGGTTAGAGTATGCCGCGGGGGCTGACCGGTATCGTGGTCTGCGGGGAGGATAGGTGTATGGGCCGTAGGGATCGTAGACCGGGTCGTAATAGTGTCGACTGCCAGTGTACTGGTATCGGTAGGGCTCGCGAGGCGTTGGTGGAGGGGAGGGGTAGCGGCGGAAGGTTGTGGTGGGCTTCGAGGGAGTGCGGGAGTAAGGGATGCCCATTGGGCGAGCGTAGGGTTTGCGACGGGGAACAGCTGTGGATGGCTGAGAAGGAATAGCGAATACTACAGCGCGTTTGAGCGTGTCATCTGGGGCTGGGGTGATTGAATAAGATGCAATCAAAGGCCACGTCTGATTAGAATGAGATGAAGAAGGGAAATGACTTGCATTTTCATTGTCATTTAGAAAACGGAAGCTGCCTGCCGTTTTATTGGACTCCACTCGTGTCTGCAGGTCGACGATTGTTTGTGCATAGTAGCATGTGTTCGGCTTGAGTTAGGTGCAATTGTTTGCTCGATGCTTGTAGGCGTCGGGTTGAACTGGGATATTAGGCCGCTTGGTCTAGGATCTAGACGGCTCTGTACCACTCGAGTGTGAAATCCAGTTGGCCCTCCTATTGGGGATATTAACCTCGAAGTGTCGCATGTCCGGCGTCTTTCATACCGACTGTCTTTAATCTTATGTTGCCAGGAAAGGAGGAATAATTCTACGGCGTAAATATTTCCTTTCCGGACCAGTGAGCTGCCTCGTTTAGGCGCCTCAATGCTGCCACGTCCATGCTCTTTCTCTCAGTTCGCAGTCTCTTCGCTTATGCACGGTCGTTTGTTGTTGCGCCAGAGATTCAAATTTCGATTCTAGTTCAGATGACGATCTGTAGCTCTAACGTGTCGGGTCGACTGTGTATCTATGCTGGCCCAGGAAGTTGAAGGTAAGGTTGGCAATGGTGGAGAGGTGTCGCGATCATAAGCAACGATAATCAAAGGAGTTTGGCGCAGCGCGAATATTTGCCAAGCATCAAAACGCATGTCGTGACAACCGAATCGACTTTTTCCGACAGATTAATATTGAAACAAGCGACTAAACGGCGATAAAGGCGATAGATAAATGATATTAACACCAAGCAGACTGGACGCCAATGGGACGAGTATTGAGCGATGAGATGGAAGAATAATGAAAGCAACTGCATCAGTACAACCACTTTGTTCAAGGACAGGATTTATCTCTAGACACAATGACTCAGCTCGTGTTTCCTACAGATATTCAAGGGCCAGTGCATAACTGGTTGCCCAACCGCGCACGTCGAGGGCTGCTTGATAGGACTCGGTGAGTTTGGCAGCACACTTTCCTGGCAATCGTTTGGATCTCTCGCGGATTTCGATATCGAAAATATATCAACAATTCATGATACAGGATCTGAATCCCACTTGGAACCGAAAGGTGAGAGATAATGCTTGGAGCTCAGAGCTGTCTGTACGTTCGAATTCCGAAGTCCATGACTACGGAGGAACGGCGTGTCTTCCAGGTTGTACCACAAGAACTACGGGTTTCATCGCATCCAACTGATGCGTCTAGAACACCGCATTTGGGAACATTCGAGAGTTCATATGCCCAAAGTTGAGCTGCCAACATAGGATTTGAAGGATGGTTGTTGACATGGACTGACGTTGAAGAGGAGCTAAGGACGGGTTTGACCCACAATTCCTTTCGATTTCTAGTCTCCCCACACAAGGATTTTGTTCCGCCTTTCAAATTTCATGAACTCTCTCAGGTCCCCAATCCCGAGTCCATCACTCTCAGATTGGGATCTGGGCCTTCCTCAATCTTTTGTGATTATGAAAAGGACTCCATGTCTTACCATGCCTGTGTCGAAGCTCAAAGTTAGACATCCCGGATAGCTAATGGCGAATACAAAAGCCACTCTCGCTCCTTGCTAGATGTGGTCCGAAAGCTTCCCGTTGACCCTCCCATCACACCAGGCATTTGGCAGCTGTGCATTCCATCGATGCCTGAGCTATAGCTTGCCTTATTCCTCGTTTGGACAACCTGATACGATGTGCTTGTTCTCGAGGAACCAAGGAAGGTAAATGCGCCTATTATTTGAGGATATGTCGAGATGATGTTCTCCACGGGGTGACACTCGATGTCCAATCGTCGAGCTGCTCGGTTGAAACCATCAGATGATTCTGAAGTCCAACGTAGAGGCCCAGAAAATTGGACTCGGTCGCTGTACGACAGCGGTTGAATCTATAGTCTTCCTTGGTTTGGGGGTCGCTTGGAAGTATTTCCTTCCCAACCGCGACTTCTAGGGTCTTTGCGGCTGTCATCGTGTGGCCAGGGCACGACTTTTCTCTTGCGCATCTTGCACTACGGTACCAGGGCTTAGTACTTTCATAATAGGAGCACTTCCAGGACACTTCCATCGGTTTATGGTAGCAAATGCAATAGCCAACAATGCCCCCTCCGGCAGAACCCTGGGTGGTGCAGGGGTCCTGATCACTGGGCAATGAAAGATAGATTTGGTATGCAACTTAAGTTCCCTCTATATTGTTGCCTTTCTCTCGCTGTGTAAGTTGAAGTGCAGTAGTAATTGTTTTTTATTTGATAGCAAGCTGCATGTGTGGGGAGAGTTGTGTACATAAATTGTGTTGTGAGTGAGTGATACACCTGGAAACGGTAATTCTGTGGAGGTGCGATATTAATGGAGATCTGATTGGTTGATTGATGGCGAATGATGCGCTATTCCAGATAAAGACTAGTGCTAGTCGGTTGAAGCGAACCACACACAAATTGACTTCTCCAACTCTCACACATCACGAAACTTCAACCACCGCCGAACCATCCACCCATCAACCGAGAGAGCATTGCATTGGTGTCGTTTGCGAATAGGTGAGTACTATCTACCAATTCCCTATTCATATCAGGTCTTCGATTGCAGTTGTCTGCCAATTCTCCGCCTCGAAACGATTCTGGACCCGGCAGGCGACGAGCAAACGAACCACATACTGCACCGATCCTCCTTCGATATCGTCTCCGTCACATCGAAACCACATTCTGGACCATTACAGGGACGAAACGCTGACTTTGTTTATGATATAGCCTACTACATCAACCGCAATCATGGGGTTTGTTCCAAACCGTCTCCTTCCTCCAACCCACCACCCGCTAACCTCCTCCCAGTATCTCACGAGACTCGCGCCATAAGCGCTCCGCCACCGGCGCCAAGCGTGCGCACTACCGCAAGAAGAGGTATGCATAACCCGATCGCTCCGTCAACCATGTCTGACATGGCTGTAGAGCTTTCGAGAAAGGTCGTCAACCGGCCAACACTCGCATCGGAGCGAAGCGCATACATCTCGTCCGCACCCGCGGCGGCAACCGCAAGTTCCGCGCCCTCCGCATCGACTCTGGCAACTTCTCCTGGGGCTCTGAGGGCATCGCCCGCAAGACCCGTGTCATCGTTGTCGCCTACCACCCGTCCAACAACGAGCTCGTCCGCACCAACACCCTGACCCGCTCGGCTGTCGTGCAGATCGACGCAGCGCCGTTCCGCCAGTGGTACGAGGCGCACTACGGCGCCAACCTGGGCCGGAGAAAGCAGCAGCAGGCCAAGGGGGGCGAGGTCGAGGAGAAGAAGAAGGAGAGCCGCGCCCTACAAGAGAAGCACGCCGAGCGACAGAAGACCGCCAAGGTGGAGTCGGCGTTGGAGAGGCAGTTCGAGGCCGGTCGGCTGTACGCCGTGGTGGCGTCACGGCCGGGCCAGAGCGGTCGTTGCGACGGATACATCCTGGAAGGGGAGGAGCTGGCTTTCTACCAGCGTGCCATCAGGAAGTAGGGGATGTTATGATCTAGTCTCGGCGAAAATTCATGGTGCTGGGTTGCATCCGGAAAACTGGTGTATCGTTCAACTGCTGCATAGGGCGTTACCAATCATAAGAGCGTCAAAATTCCAAAGACGTGCTCAATTCAAAACGGGCTGCATCCAGAATACATGTGACGTCGACATTTCTCATATTGTATCAAGAAAATGGTGCCTCATTCATAGTGTCATAGATCCGAGACGGAATGAATTCTATCTACTCCTCACACCTCCGCCTTCTCTTTCTCCTTCCTTTTCATCAAGTTCTTCGCCGTCTTAAACACCCCTCCGGTCGCCGCTCCACACGCCGCGCACGCCGGCGACTTCTTAAACCGCTCCAACGCGCACTTCTCGCAGAAATAATGCCCACACTTCGTCACCACGGGATTCGAATACCCCTTTTTACAAATAAAGCACGCGAACGGGATCTCCTCCTTCTTCTCCCCCTCCTTCTCCTCCTTCTCCTTCTCCACCCCCCCCTTCTTCCGATTCCGCTCCACTTCCCACTCCTTGTCCAGCGCCCAACCCGCCTTATAGTCCTCGCGCGCGTGCAGGTACTTGCAGTTGTCGCCGTAGCCACAGAAGCCGGTCTGCTTGTAGTCCTTGCAGACGTCCGGGGCGAAGTCGATGTACGTCGTCATGCGGACGTTGGAGGAGGATTTGGTGGGGCCAACTTGCCGGGCGGATTTGGTGGCTTCGTCGTTGGCGGTGGGTTGTGGGCCGGAGGGGGCGGTAGTTTGTGAGGGTGCTTGAAGGCCGGGGGAGATGCGTTTGGGGGCGGGGAGGGAGCGAGGGGAGGGTGATCGCTTGCGCTTGACGACGCGTTCGGGAGAGGTAGATGGGCTGCGTGCGCGAGGGGTGGGTGGGGAGGATGTACGGCTAGGGGAACGGGCGTCGTCGTCGTCTCTCATATCGACGTCGGAGTCGGAGTGTAACTGGTCCGCGACCTTGCTTTCCCGCGGCTCTAGCTTTCCGTCGTCTTCCAGCATGGTTCGGGTAGGCAGCTTCCACAGCGCGGTTCCGCACACGCGGTCTTTGCTGAGGAGGTCGTCGATGAACTGGTCCATATACGTCAAGATGAACCCGTCCTTGAGCCGTCGCTTCAGTTTACGATAGTCTTCGAGTCGCGGTTCGAGGGTGGAGTAGATTTCGACCGGATCCCATGCGAGCCGGATGTAGAAAGCAGCCAGCGCACGGAGGTATTTGAAGTCATTCCGACTTCCTAGTCGACCATTATGCGAATCCCCGTTGGCCGGCTTCGAATCTCCATTCCCCATCTCCGCATCATCGCCATTCACACTCTTCTCATCCTCCTCCTCCGTCCAGTCCAAGTACTCCTTAACGACCGCTTTCGACGGCTGCAATTGCAGCATCTTGAACAGCAAGCATAGGAACGGCGTCGGCCGCCCAAAATCACTATACGTCCCGCCAATGTACGTGAGCTCGGCGGCGCGGTCGCATAACGTCGCCTCGTTCAGCCCGAAGCATTGCTCTTTCCAGTAGTAGGATTCCGTGATCCGGTCCCGCACACCGGTTTCGATCAGGGTCGCGGGATTTTTGCCGCGGAGGAGAGGGCCGCTGTAGCCTCGATTGTCGAGGAGTGCTGCTGCGTCGGCGCGATGCGCCATCTTGAAGGGAGATGAGCTTGTCGCGGGCGGCGATGGACTTGTGGATTGACGAGGTTGAGTTGTGGGCTCCACGGAAGTGTCTCCGCTAGTCAAAAACCTTCGGGTATGTTCACTTCTTCAATCTCGGATTCTTGGATCTGAAAAGATCTGAATCATCGTGTCTCTTCCTTAAGCTACTCCATGCAAAACGGCCAGGTCCCAACTGTGGCGAATGCTGAGAAATGTTGGTGCACCGCCACTTCTCGAATCTGCCAGATCCCGGCTCATTGATATCCTCTAATTGGCTGGATGCCATCACCATAGCACCAGAACGCAAACAAACAGTTGACCAGCGTCATCAATGGTATTAATTACTGATGGGAAAAGCGACATCTTACACTTTGTGGATAGCATGATTTACAAGACGATATGACGATATAATGACCCATCTTACCCTTCTTGAATACAATTAAACGCAAAATGGCTAGAATACTGCTCACGAGCGGACAGGTTTCCGTAGCACTGAGCTCTGGCGTCGGTAAGTAGACGAGTCCAAGAGACTCAACCACGAACAATAGACCAGCCATTGACCACAGCACAGTCGTAATCTTCACCATCCTCCTCTTCCTAAGCGGCTACGTCCTCCAACAACAAACTGTCCGCTCCCTCCGCCACGCCATCCGGCCGCCCCTCCCACCCCCTCCTCCCTCCCTCCCCCTCCAAGAACTCTCCACCCAAAACCCGCTCGCCAAATCTGCCCGCCTCCCCGGCACCGTCGTCAGCAAAGAAGCCGTGCAAGCCCACCTCGCCGCTGCCAGTGCCAGCCAGGCGATCGACTGGAAGCGGCGCGCCCATGTCCAACTCGTGCGCAGTCATGAGGAGGTCTGCGGCGCGGTCATGGTGTTCGCGGACTTATATCGGCTAAGGAGCCAGGGGAGCAGGGCGTTGGTGTTCCCGGCAGCGTGGGCGACGGCGTGGGGAGATGAGTGGGGGTATGAGACGAATCCGGAGGCGGAGCGGACGAGGCGGTTGCTGAAGAAGGCGGCGAGAAGGTATAAGGTGCATTTGGTACCGATGAAGGCGATTGAAGAGGGTGGTGATGGTATGTCGCATTTCTGCGCTTAGTGTGGTTCGACATGGTGCTGAACGTTTCCCCTATAGATTCGCTTCCCTCGTCATATTCGTATGCAAGCCTATTCTCCTTGGATTGGTACGACAGGATACTGGCGCTCCCGCGACCCGGCGTCGTCCTCGATGCTGTTCCCCTAGACGTTCTCCTCGCGTTCGGTACCCCAGAGAGCCTGGCAACATCCGCTGCGGCGGAAGTACAATTCGACATTTCTCCTCAGAGCGAGATGACCCTGATCCGACCGTCGAAGGAGGAGTTCAGCCGGATCATGGATATCCGGGATGCGGATCAACTATCCGAGACGTCATTATTTAGCGAAGCTTTTCCTTCCCCCGAGAAGCTTTCGGCATTTGGAAACGCGGAGGTGGCGCTCATGGCGACGACAGGGAGCCTAAAGGAATATAGTATCCGGAAACAGGATCCCCCGGTGCCGGAAGATAACGTGCCTGGCTCGCCATCAGGGGAGCAACTGGTGGTGCAAGAGACCGCGGGACAGTCCGGTGCATTCAACGCCACGGAATTCATGCAGAATACTGCCTTTGTTCGCATCATGGACGCTGGACTGCCGGGCCCTGAGTACGATGTGCCCCGGACCGAGATGCTCAAGGCGAAGCCATGGGGAGAAGCGGGGATGGTGTGGGAGTCGATGTACGAGCGATTTCGTGCCCATCGGATGGATGTATGTGGGTTGGAGTTGGAGATGGTGCCGGAGAAAGAGGAATTGTAACATGTATTGGTATGTGTGGATATTTGGTTGTTTTGGGTATAGAATGGGTTCGATTTTCACGACTTCAATATATTATATGAACTTGGATGGGCTGCTGTGTCGTGTGAAATGGAAATGGCCGATGGGTCGGGACGGCCTTTGCTAGGGGTCGGGGTTTACTACTGGAGAACCGCGTTCACGTACATACCAAATTACGCGTTGGTCCGTATCCCGTAGGCCATGTTCACGCATCAACATACATGTTACATAGATAGGTACCCCCCCCCCTCCCTGAGTTCCTGGGGCTCTTAGGGGCAGAGGGTTGGGGTATGTCTTAGTAAGACACGAATAACATGTTGTGGTGCACTGCAACACATTATTGCATGTGGATATTTTCAAGATAAGTACGTTTGATGGCAGGACAAGGCCAGGCGTTCAACTACCGGACGGTTCTCCATACTCGGTTCACTTCTTTCCTAGCCGAACTACCAAGAGTCAACCCAATAAAGACACAAGTTCTCCCGATATGTCGGCATTTGTTGGACGCGAAGATACCTTGTATCGTTAGTATCATCCTGGTATTTTCCTCGACTTCCAGAGTCCAGTACCGGGATGCACTGGTATACAAGTATCCTTCCAAGAATCCAAGATCAGCTTTCGAGTCCTTGGAAACCCAGGTCCAGCGAATCAATTGGTTGATGTCAAACGAAGTCGTATCCAATGAGATCCAAAAGCCTGGATTTCACCGATGCTGTGATGCAAGCCAGGGCAAGCTGCAGGGCGAACTACCAGTGGTTGCTCCTCTCTGCTAAGTCCTACAGTATCCATAACCGGGTGGCTAAGCAAGGCGAACTTGCATCAGGGCAGATTTGCCTTTTGATACCCCTCCAACGGTTCTCGTGATCGGATCATGAATGATCGCTTCTTAATTGCCTCGCGAGGCGCGCTCTTCTAAATAGTTCATGCTTGTCTTTCCTTTTGATGTCCTTAGGCGTTGATGGTTTTCAGTCCTGTCGTTCGTTTCCCTACCTCAATGTAACCCCTCTCGTACAATTGGGAACCAGATGTCTATCTGAACCTATTTTTTTTATCAAGCGCTCCTTTCCTTGCGAAAAGACGTCAAAAATTGAACAAGGCTGTCTCTAAGAAACGTGTTTAGTCCTTCGGTTACACTGTGACTCTTTCCTTCCAAATTATGGCGCACAAGACATCCAAGTCCAAGCATTCGTCGAGACATCACCATGGAAAGAAATCCAAGTCGAGTACACAATCTAAGTCGAGGGCAACGGCAGCAACAGCAACTCCGATTCTTCACCACACCCAGTCAATCCGTCTACAACCGCAGCCGAGTCTACCAGTTCTACCGATCCGAACCGCATCGACACCGAAGTCACCACCTCCTTGCTATCATTCCACACAAGCAGGCTATCCTCGGGCAGTAAATCTCCCCCAACGCTACCCTCCTACCCATCCGCCGGCACCCCACTGGGCATCAACAACGAATCTAGCAATGTTACGTCCTCAGACTCACCCACCAGTTCGTCAGGGCCATCGTCCTCCAGATCAAAGAAAGGTCAAATGGTCAGACCGACTACACCTGCCCTCCACTGTGGCGAGGCCGCTCCACGCCGCATCTGCGTCCGTAAGCAATCTACAGGACACTGTACGGGGTCTGAATGATGGCGCGAATGATGTATTGAACCAGCGAGGGGCGGGGTATGTGGGACGAGCGGCGGGGATATATGAGCTATGTGCACAGTATCTCGACGATATCATCACGCAAATCGATGGGGAGGTCTTGGGTACTGAAACTGGACGACCAACGAATACTCAAACAGCGTATCATCCAAATCCGCAGTGGCAGCAATCGATGCCATATCTTCCACCACCACCGCAACCATACGCTCCTGCAGCCCCCCCACACTTGAATCACACCCTCCAACCCTTCGCCGAACCAGCCCTCCCACTCCCCACCTCCACCTACTTCTCAAAAGTCTGGTTGTACTCCAACTCCCGCCTCCCACCGCATCTCCCACCCCTGAAACTCTACCTCCCAACCTATCCCCTCCTCACCCTCGCGGCCCGCCACAGCCTGCTCGCCTACTCCCCACCCCCACCCTCCAACATCAGCACGTCCCCATCCACCACCACCCTCACTAGTCCTGCCGCTGCCCCCTACCTAAAATCTTTCATCCTCCGCACCGTCCCTGTCTCCACGTCCCCGCACACCCACACCGTCATCCTCTCCATCCGCGGTAGCGCCTCCTTCACCGACTGGTCTATCAACCTCCACACCACCCCGCAACCCCCTCTCCCCCTCCTCGACGACCCGGGCAACCTCACCCACGGCGGCTTCCTCGCCGTCGCCGTCGCCATGCTCCCCTGCGTTGCCCGCCATCTCACCACCCTCCTCGACGGCATCCTCGCCGCGGACCTGTCCCGTCAGCGCGACGGCCGCCACCGTCCCCCAAAAATCACCCTCCTCCTCACCGGCCACTCTGCCGGCGGCGCCATCGCCTCCCTCCTCTACGCCCACCTAGGAACCACCACCCCCGCCTGCACCTCTCCCCTCCGCACCCTCCGCTCCCGCTTCCGCCGCATCCACTGCATCACCTTCGGCGCCCCGCCCATCACCCTCCTCCCGCTTCGCAAGCCGTCACCTCCTCCCGCAAACGGGCGCGACGACACGGCCGCATCGAACCCCGACTGGCGCTCCTCCCTCTTCTTCTCCTTCGTCAACGAGGGCGACCCCGTCGCACGCGCCGATCCCGCCGTTGTCCGCTCGCTGCTGAAGCTGTACGCATCATCACCACCGCCGCAGACGATGGCGGCGGCGGGGTCGGCGCCGCGGTGGGAGGTGCCGCCAGGGATGCTGAGCTGCGCGGGGCGGATCGTGCTGTTGCGGGGGTATCATCCGCAGAAGGGTGGAAGGGCGAAGAAGGGGAGGCGGGTGGGAAAGGTGGGTGGGAAGATGGGGGGGAAGAAGACGGGGCTGG